GACAGACTGAGAGACACTGACGTTTAATTTAATTTGGGAGGCAGACAAAAAGCACATTTTGATCTATGATCCTTTTGTTTGTTTTTTAACCTTTTTTCACTTTGTGTCTGATTTGTTTGTATTTTATTTTGGGGTTTGTATGTGTGGGAGTGGTGGGTGAGAGCATTATGCAATTTGTTTGACTGTTTATTCCCAGTTTTACAGAGTTGTTTTTAAGGCAAAAGAGACCAATCATCTTTGTTTTTATTTTTTACTCTCCACACACCGTATATTTGCAATGTTGCCTATCCATGTAAAATTATGATGTACCATTCATGCCTGCCTTGGCTCTGAAAAGTTGCTTTTTTCAGTAAAGTATGTACCTGGTAATACTGTTTTTTTTAATAAAGATCTTTTCTTAGACGAGATTTGGCGACGTGTGATTTGGTGTGTGGCGAGGAAGCACTGCTGTGTCATGTAGATAAACACGTCTAATTAAAGAGTCACTCTGTCTTGGTAATTCCCCTCACTCTTGTTAAGGCAAATAGCAAAACGCATAATCTTGACACTATGCTGGATATTCGCTGTCAAACATCTGTGTGCTCCATTAGGCTTGTTTTAGTTGGACGCTCTAAATTATCAAACCTTGTTATCCATAGTCATTTGTGTCATCAGAGCCTTTTTTAAACTCATTCCAAACATATTCATCTTCCCACTTAAGACCTTAAACTGTGTTCAGGTGTTGAGTTCATGCCTGCGTAAAGCCGATTAACTTTCAAACACGACATTCACCGCAGCACAGTTGCTAGACTGTTGAGCGTCGACATTCTTGGCTTTGCTCTCTGGTTACACACGCTGAAAGGGAATGGTGTTCGTGTGTGTGTTTGTCAGCTTCCAGAGGAGTTGAAGGAACACACAAAGGTTGAGCGAGGACGTGAAAGTGTTGCAGCGTTTTCCAGTATGCAACACATCTGAAATGCATCCCACGCAGCTTGAGAAGCAGCTGTTGGATCACGAGGGTATTAAGCGCACGCCAGTGTGTGAAAGTTTGAAGACACACAATTTATTCAGCTGTTACTTATTAATATAAATGTAGATAAAGACACAATGCCAGAATTTCAACAATACATTTTCACACAGCTACTTAAATTAGTGTGTAAGACGCAGGGCCGCAGCTAAAAATGTGGACCCTGATGCCCGGGGGGGCATTTACTATAGAGCTGCAACTAATTATCATCAATTAATCTTCTCTGTAATTCTTTTCCTTTGATGATTTTACTGTCAGTGACAAAAGATGAGTCTTGTTTTCCATGAATGTTGCTGATTGTTTTTCTAATCTGTCTTGAAAAATAAATAAATATAAAGAATTTTAAAAATGATGAATGAGGGATGGTTATCAAAATTGCTGCCCTTCAAGTACTTCACATTGAGGAATAAAAGCACATTTTATTTTTCAGATTTAAATCATGACACATTTGATCAGAGAATCGGTAACCAAACCAGGAATCTGACCAAGCTTTCAAAACAAGCTTTTGTTACTTGATACTTTTCAATACTCCATGCAATGGACACATTTTGGTTGGTAGGACAGTATTTTTAGGACACTGTTACGGTTTCCCCAGAGGATGTTTCCTTGTTGAGCTGCGGCAGAGGGACCTTAAAACAATAAGGGAATTTCGTACTAACTTTGGAAGATACCCATTTGATTTGTCTGACGCAGACAGTTGACCGCAAAGACTGGGCATTTTGTCACTGAAGGAATTTGTTGTACGGAGGAGGAACAATTACAAACAGATATCCCCTGAAATGTAGTTGTGGGCATGTGTGTATTGTTTTAAGACGGATGTAAAAAAAACAAACCTATCCTTTAAAGTTTGATATTCAGCCCTGTTAAGTACAACATTTCCATACATATAAAGTTTATCTCTTGCACGCGGCGTGGAGACTGGTTTGGAAACAGCATTTAGACCTTCTTGTGGGAAATATAATTTAAAGGAAATAAAATTGAACTGTTGGATAATAAATAAAATATGAAAAATCCAAATAATAAAACCACTTAGAGGTGGGGTACATCTAAAACCTTAACTAGAGTCCTGTGTACACATGAAGTGTAAAGTTCATGAAGGTAAATAAAAAATCTGATCGCTGCACCTGCTAAAATATAGTAACTCTTTCACATGTCGCAGCCACAGGTGTAAATTTATTAGAGCTGTAATAAACTGCAGAGAAACATAGATGGTCTTGTCTTCTAACTGCTACAAGCATATATGTGAGTGACAAGTGTGCGTGCATGTCTGCATTAGTCATTGAGTGAGTGTGATGTTTGTAACCTGTGCAGCTGGTACACACACCCATGCTTAAACTTGAGACCACCGAACGCAGCAGATTCTCCCTCCCTCCCTGTGTCCTGTCATATCTATTTAGGGCTCCCCCGCTGTTCTTCATTTCCTCTCTCAAGCTCAAGTAGGAGCAGCAACATGTAACTCCAGCACACGAGATCTGGGGGGGAGGAGGAGACTGCTGGGAGGCCACAGGAATATAACGCGCGTTCAGAGAGGAATGGTTGTTCAGCACCGGATTCATCTCAGTCCACGTGAGGGACACTGCCGGGTGTGTTACCATGCATGATAAGGTAGGGAAACCACACCACTGGTAGATTCAGTGTGGCCCTCCTTCCTTATGATCTCTGGAGCTGATTTGTGGAGTAAAGTGAGCCTAAACAGATCCGTTTTAGAGCAAAAGGAACTGCCTGCTCTTGCCTTGTAACTCATGGATACACTTGGCGTCCCTGGTCCGTCCTCTTCAAACTCAGATGACAGGTCCCCTGATCGCACTCCAGCCCCGGACTCCTCCCGCCACACCTCCCACACCGGACAGCAGAGCGGCCTGGGCTACGGGCTCAGGGTGGCCTGGCACCACCTGAGGCCCTTCATCCCCTTCATCCTCATCAGCTCCATGGTCGTGGCCCTCATCTACTTGATGCAGGCCATTATCTTCGGGGGGCCCTTTAAAGACCCGCTCTTCTTCGTGAAGTTCTATGAGCGCTGGCCCCGGCCCACTCCGGGCCGACAGGACTCCCCGTCACCTACTAAGTTTTTCAGTCCTGTCCCCTCCTCATCTTTCGAGCAATTCCTTGTTGAACTACACGGAGACAATGACACAATGTGAACATTTTAATAACAGAAACTGGAGGAACTTTTTTTTTCTGTAAATATGAGCAACAAGGACTACCCAGGTATTACACCAGGCCTTAGTGCTATAATAAGGGCACAGACTGATACTCTGACTGTGTACACGAGTCATTTAATTTGGGTTATTGTGTATGTCCCCTACCTGCTCTTTTTATCAGAGCCCAGGACTATGTTATGGGTTGGAAAGTAACATGCAAGTAACACTGGCTAGTCTTCGAACATCTGCAATGTGCAGCTGAATCAGATTAAGGACAACAAACTTCAATCAATCGGTGTGCTCCACTCTTTTGACACATGTGAAACGGGGCCATGCTGATATAATAACCTTTTCAATTCAACAGTGCTGCAATTCATTAATGTAGCTTGTCTCTTTTGTGACTTTTCAGGACAGGTTTTTGGACCCATTTACATTGCAGGTGCTTAAATGGCCCTTAAAGTTGTAAAAAACAAACAAAACATCAATATCAATGTTATGAATAATGTTTTAAATAGAAAAATGTGGCTGCCTGATATGTAAGTAAAGCACCAAAGACACCATATGTTTGGCCTGTATTTCTGTCTTTGACAATGAATGTTAACACTTGAGCTCCTTTCCTGAAGCTAATATGAGGTTTCAGCAGTCTGAGTGGAAATCAAGTGGAAATCTTTCAAATTTAGTCTTTTTAGTACAAAATTCCTGTTTTGTGTAATCATCCCTCCACCATGGCTCAGCAAGGAAACAGTGTCCATGGGAGCACAGAGAAAGAATTTTAACTCAGACTGCTGAAGCCTCACATCAGTGTCACCTGAACTTTAGAGGTAATTTTGCTCAGAGCAAAGGACTGTGGATTTTTAAGAAGGGATCTCTTTGCGGCCTGTTTGGACACAACTAATGCGACCAATAACCCCTTCAGTGCATAGGTGTCATTTACACTGGGGACGCTGTCCCCACTGCGTTTTGAAATGGCTGATTTTGTCCCCATCACTTTTTGAAAGCATTTGTTAAAAATGTTGTGAATAATAGATTGCACCAAGAAATGTTAACTAACAAATGAAAATGCTTTGAGAAAGTGTGCATTGTCCCAAAAAAGTAAAATAAAAAATAAAAAATTGCTGATTACTGCAATATGTTATTTTTAATTTTTTATATTTAGAATTTGTCACCTGCCAGCTGATTTTTTTGTTTCTTTATATAAAGACATTTCCACTGTAAATTGGAGCAGAAAATGTCTCCAGAATGCAGGAAATTAAGTGTTTAATGCTCAGATTTTCTGGGGGAGAACAGCAGAACCCCAGGTGTGTTTGATTGCTTTACAATTAAACTTACATTTTTTTTAAAGAATAATGTGTTATTCCTCCCTTGAGAAGTCACATAGTCTCACTTTATAGCCAACCAGCCATAGCCCTACAATCCCATTTTTATTTCACTTTTTACTTAAGTAAGGTTTTGAATGCAGGACTTTTACTTGTAGTGGAGTATTTTCAGTGTGGTATTGATACTTTCGCTCAAAGTAAAGGACCTGAGTACTTCTTCCACCACTCCTGACTGAATTAGTTTTAGCGAGGTGCTACCAAATAGACTGGCAACAAAGTGTAACATAAATTAGAGATTTATTAAATCACTTTAGGTCTTTGTCAGGACAGTATATGATAATATATAAAGTCACTGACCACTAAAAAGGCACATATACTCTTTTGAAACGAAAGCGGAAGTAGCAGAAGTGAATTCTCTCGTGTTTAGTGTTGTTTCTGTAATCTTTGGCTGTCCGTCGCCGCCTGCACTGTGGCGGCTGCGTGGTGGCGCTCCCTCCCCCTGCTGGCGAAGCGACAAACTACACTGTACCGCTGATGACCACGTTGACCCGTGGATGACCTCAGTAAAAACAGACAGAAACCCCCACTGATAAACAAAATATACTCTATGTTAACCTTACTTTAAAACATTTTAATATTTTTTATATTTCCATTTTATGTGTTTGACGTGGGGACGGATTAATAGAGAGCTTTGGGACTCCCACACGGTGAGTGCAGCCGGTGTCTTGCGTTTGTGTGTAACGTTAGTCCACCGGGAGAAAGTAGTTCAAACAGCTCCGGTTGTACTCCAGTAATTTTTTGTAAGGGCCATTAATGTAATGTTAATGACATGTTAACAAACAGGCGGTCTGTTACGACTACTTCACACCTGTTTACTCTTGGCGGTCTGCTAGCTGGCTGCTAACTGTCAGCAGCGATGCTAATCTGCAGGTGTGCTCTGGAGCTTTGATGTTAACGTTAGACGTCTGCAGACAAGGACCCCATTTTAAATCAGTTTTGTCCCAGCTGAGACGGTTCTTATAGCTGATTTTAAACGGTGAAAAAAGTATAAATTTGGTTGTTCTGAAAACCACAAGAAGGGGAACTTCAGCAGCACAATAATTGTAGTAATTTGTAAGGCGACACCTGCATGAACGAGTGATTGAACCCAATATGGAGAACTGGAAATCTCTTTTAATGTGTTAGTACGCATTCAGTGTTGGATTGAATGTGCAAAATGTACTGCCAATTAAAATATTTTCTTTCAAAATAATATTTTAAACAATAAACCAATGACTATTAAAATATAGCTACAGTGTCAACATAATCTTTTATTTAATGGGGTTCAAGGTTCCACTTTCTCAGTGCCCAACACAGGATAGCACAATTAAATGCATAAAGTATATAAGTAAATAAAGTATATGAATGTATCACTAAAAGAAGAAATAAAAAGGAAAACTAAATTATACACAAAATATGTACAGTATGTGTAATAGTATACGTAAATAAAAATAATACATGTTAAAGTACACAACCTCAATTTCCAATATATGTTAAATACATCTACTTCTCATGTTAGCCTGGGTTCCTAGCAGAATCACGAGTACTGAATCATAAAGGATCTGTCCATCAATACAAAAACATGTACAGGTTTGCTTTGGTAAAGCAGCTTCATGTACAGTGTGTGCCACAGAGTCAGACACCTGCAGAGTGTAACGTTTTTTTCATTTTGTATAAAGATGGACCGATGGTGTTTGTATTGATTACTGTTAGTTTGCCTGTTTCTCACACATGGATAATGTATGTGTTTAAGCCCTTGGTTGGTGGAACCTTTTCATGAGCCTGCGCTAAATGTGTTGCTCATGTCAATATTTATTGTAATATATAATATTACATTATAATATTTATTTATTGATACACTTTTGAAATGTACATTAATCTCACACTCATAAAAGTATGACGTCAAGCGCTGTCTACAACTCTGGCCGGCTGGAATTCAGCAGTCGTGTTGTAGAGAGATCTATTGCACCATAACCTTCATTGATTTCCCCTCTCTCCTTATCTCTCTTCCTCCTCAGAAGTGGTTAGAGACATGTGGTGCTACCAAAAACCGGGGTTTGAAGCGCTCCTCCTTGCTGAGCTGCAGAGACAGCAACAGTGCAGCCAGTTCTGTGACATTGTGCTGAAGACAGAAGGTATAAATACACACACAAAAACAGCTTTAATTAGTATTCTGTGTTAGAGTTGTGCAAATAGACAACCTGTAAATCCAGTACATCTTCACATTGTATCTAGTTTAATTTAATTGTGGAAACTCATTTCATCTTTCCTCTCCTCCAGGTGTATCAGTGCCAGCACACAGTTGTATTCTCTCAGCTATCAGCCCCCGCATTTCCTCTGCGCTGTCCTCCACGATACTGCCCCCCGCAGGACAGAGCCATCTCTTGGAGTTTCGGGCTCTGGGCGCCTGCACCCTGCTCCACCTGGTCAGGCTGCTGTACTCCGGAGAGATGACAGGGGAGGGGGAGAAGGAGAAGCAGGAGGCATTTTCTGCTGCTGCCAAGCTGGGCATCCACGGGCTGGTGGAGGTCACAAAAAGAGGGGAAGGAGAAGGCCAGTGTGCAGAGGTAGGAGTGCAGACGGAGCCACTGAGGCCTGAGGAGAATGAGGGGAGAAGGGACAGGTGGAGGAGAGAAGTGAGGGATGGGAGCACCTTTCTGTGGAAAGAGACGCTGTCAGGTGGTGAAAAAGACACATGGACTCAGACAGAGGAGCTGCAGGTAAACACAGCTTCCCCTTCTCACCCAGCAGCCTCCTTTGAGACCATTGATATCGCTGCTCTCCAGAGCTTAGGACAGACCGACCCCCATCTACTTCCCATATCCCTCATCTACCCACCAGATGAAAACCAAACACCCCAATTGTCCACTGCTCCCGTGTGGCAAGAATCCACAGCAGCTGGACACACATCTGTTGCTGTTCTTCCTTCTTCCAGCCAAGCGACGCTGAGTGGTGCTGGCCCTCAAGGAGCAGCCAGAGACATTGTTGAAGAATGGGAGGATGAGCGGTTCGAGCAGTTTCAAGGCAACATCCCAGGATACATCAGCTACTTCCTGAACTCAGACAAGGAGGAGGGCTCCCTCAGAGGGCGAGCAAGGAGGAGGCGGGGAGCAGGAGTGGGAGGTGCCAGGAGAGTCGGGACGGGTGAGAGAAGGGCCAGCAGACCACAAGGGAAAGGAGGAGGGAGGAGGAGAGGAGGGTTAATGCAGACGGTGGATGTGCAGGAGGTGGGGGTGAGCAAGCTGCAGAAGCTGTTCCTGCAGAGGTCGGGGATGAGGGTGCCCAGGGCCGGTCAGGGCGGAGGAGCTGTAGGCAGGAAGTTGTACCTGAAGACCAGAGAGCTTCTGGAGCCAGCCAAGAAGCGTATCAGGAATAGAAGGCGCGGCAAAGTGTGGGAGTTCAGCCAGAATGGAGACATGCTGCCATACAGGGAGGGAGGAGAAGGTAGCACGCAGCGTGGGCGGAGGAAGACAACGCAGAAGTTTAACCAGGTGAGATATACACCTATTTGTAATATAATCAACACATGAAGCTTGGGGAGATAGGAGGGCTGAAAACAAGGTCCAATCAATGAACCACCAGCCTCAATCAAACATTTTGCATCTTTAAATACTGAATTTTATATTGAAAGGATCGTTATCAGTAGTGGTGTTGATTTAAAAAGTTGGTGCTTTTCCTGAAAAGACATTTCCAACCTGATCAAGTCTGATATTATAAAATAAGAGTCATTTCTTACAAAGATTTTAAGCACTACCGTTGTGGTTGTAATCACAATTTCTCTCTCGCTTGTTTCTAACCAGGCCAAGAGACTTTAAAATTTAGAAAGATATATCCAATAATTAACACATTAGTATTTAACATATGAACCCACAAACAGACCGTGTATTTTAATGTGTGACCTCATGTCGCCTGGATATGAACAGTTTTGCCCTCCAATCATCACAGTATATGGCCTTCTGACATTACTCAAAACTTTTTAAGTGCTAGATACTATTGTATAGGGCTGCAAACAGCAGTTATTTTAATTCCTTATTAATCTGCCATTTAGATTCTTAATTAATAGATTAACTGTTTGGTTTATAAAATGTCAATAGAGAAACAAAACAATAAACACAACCCTATGTCTTTGTATGTTTTTTTTTTTGTTTGACCAACAGTCCAAACCCAAATATATAAATTTTACTATCACAGAAGACAAAGAATAATCCGCAAATTATCACATTTGAGAAGCTGAAACTTCAGAGAGTTTACCATTTTTGCTTAATAAATGGCTTAAACGATTAATCGATCATCAAAGTAGTTGTTGATTAATTTCCTACTGACTAATCAGCACTAAAGTAGTATGTGTGATTTATCAATCACCGTGGCCCTGTTTCAGAAAGCAGGTTAACAAACTCTGAGCTTATCCATAATCAATGGAGCTTCGATATTACGATTCACCATGGCAACGGCTAAATAAAGGCAGATCCTCCATTTTATTCTGGGGGAACTAGAGATATGAATGAGTGCCAGCGTGGACCATGATTGGCTCTAAAACGCAGGAGCGGAGGAAGGATCAATACGTTACCATTAATACTTTTTATGCAGTGTTGATCATTCATCATCTACCAGACTGGAATTTCCTTAATGAATGAAAGTGCTGGAATTCTCCTACAGCCCATTACATTCATTTTAAATAGGAAGGTTATATTTATTAAGCTGTAACCCGAGGGGACAAAATGCCGGTGGCAATCGGCTACCTGATTATTAAAATAGGTATAGGTATATTATATATAAGACACAGTTTACTCATGAACCTGTAATTGTAAGTCACAGTCACACCCAGCAGGTTAACCTATTAATTATTTTTGCAGTGGAAAATGTGTCTATTTGTTCAAACTGTAAAATTCCAGATGTCTATTTTACATTAATAAAATCTTGCTCATTTTGTATTTTATTAATGCTGTCAAAACACATTCAGACTTTCAGCAGGTAATAATGAAAAACTCACTTTTAAACCTTATTTAGGCCTGTTTGTTTCAGCTGAACCACAGTCATCCTCACTCAGAACATCGTAGTTATCCAATCAGTGCGACTTACTGTTCATTGATCAGTTTTCTAGGTTACAGATTAGTTTAAACAGTGATTACTGCAGTAATGTAGCTCACAGTAGCCTAAGTGTTTTCAGTGCAACTGTCACAGTGTTATACCTAAAGACGGACATAGATTTTATTCTGTGCTGAGGATAAATCCACGATGTGCGGAGATGACTCTCTGTCCACACATCGATGACAGATTGATCATAAAAGCGGTCATGTTCAAGATCATGTTTGGATGAAAAACTAATAGCCTATCCAACTGGGATTTTAAAGTTTTTAAAGATGTAAATGCGTTCAGATATGTTCTTTGATATTGACAGAATGAATGAGGAAATGAAACTTTGTGTCAGACAGCTGCCTCAGGCTCTGCAGGAAGGGAAGAGTCAGAGAGAAACAACTTATCCTGTGAACCTAACCTCCTCCCGAAGAGGTTAGGTTCACAGCATCAGTTGCCGGAGTTACTGATCTAGGGTTTATTTGATCTCGCTCTCTGAAACAGAAGAGTTTCCTCATCTTAGGCTTAACATACTTGTTAAAAAAAACTAAGAACTGCCAACTTATCACTTGAAGCATCCGTGTTTTATAGGCCCGCCCCCCAGAATCCGTGATTGGATGGTGAACTCATATTCCTGATTGGATAGTCAAATAACATATTAACCAGAGCATCCTCATAGGTTATTCAGTAGAATGTGTCAAATGTGGGACAAAAGTACTTTTAACTCTAGGTTTGTTTTGTACCTGTAGAATGGATCCGTACCTGTAAACTTTGGGTTTTTCTGATATTCAGATACACATTCAAACATTTCCACACAGCTACAAAACAGTTTCATGAGTACAAAACTTTTCCACACAACTACAATTCATTTGGGACAGTATTTATTCCATACAAACCCAGAGAGTAGTGCTTAATGATAGGATAATGTTAGACAAGATAAAACAATGTAGTAGTAGCTGATATATGAAATGGCCCCTTTAACAAGTCGGTGCTCATCTCTCTGACTGGTTAAGGAAATTGTACCTGGAGAGCTCTGACCAATCATTTAGCCCAGAGAATAACAGCTCTGCTCAATGATTTGTGAATTGACTCAGATTATAAACTAAGTGTATAATGTAGTTAATACACTTTTCTCCCCGGTAACAGGATGGTCCACCTGTTGGCAGGGCTCAGAGGGCGAGGGCCAAACCAACATCATCAGTTTACTTTTCTCCCCTTCCCATGCAATTCCACAACCTTCATAGCTTATCAGCCTCCAGCCCCTGCCTCCAGCCTTCTCCATCACCCGGCCTGCTGTCACCTGCAGCCTCCTACGTACCTCCAGCGTCGTCCCTGCTCCACACCACCTCCATCCCTCCCCCAGCCCCCCCACCTCACGAGGAACAGCCCATACACTTTGATCGTCTACTGGAGGAAGTGATGATGGGCCTCGACATTTTACCAAAGAGCAACAACAACGGTGCTCCACATTCTCAGCCTCCTGTTCCAGCCAGTAGCAGCAGTTTAACATACGCTTCCTCTGGCATTACAGGCAATACAGTTCATGGCCAACAGGTTGTTTCTGTATCAAGAGGAGCTGACGGCTACAGCTCTGCAAACACCGAGGTGCCTGTTCTGCAGCAGCAGGGAGAAGGAGAGCTGAATGAGATGCTGGAGCACTTCCTTCAGTCCTTTGAGCATCACGTTGACAGCTGCTCCAGAGAAGAAGTGGAAATAGGTGGTCAGAGCAGCACAGAGGCTAGCCGGCCTTACACTGCCCTGAGAAAATACAGAAAAACCAAGACCCAGACCGCAAGCTCTCAAATACCTGAACTGCAACAGAAACCTTCGCAGCTGAGCCAGGCTTCTGCTCACAGTACCGTTCCCCTCAAACATACTGAGGCAACACAGGGGGAAGCCGAAGCGCCAGCCAAACGACGAAGACGAAGAAAACCAAAAAATGAGTATCGGTTCACAATGGAGAGAAAGAGGGTGAGGAAGCCACTGTCATCGCGTGACGCAAAGACCAAAGTCGTTTATTACCCAGGAGACAAGCAGCTGCAGAAGATGCCTGTGGTGAAACTGCTGCCAGTCAAAGTTACACTGCAGGGACACAGCTGTCAGGAAGCTAAGGTGACTTTTCAAACAACTGTCCAGTAACGTTTCTGATGATGTCTGTTGTCACCACTACCTTTATTGCAGCAGCTGCAGAATGGAAAGAAAATCTCAAATGTTTTTGTCTGTATCTATATATTTTCCAGAGTCCTACAGAAACAAAGATCAGTTCATCATCAGTCAAACACCCACATGACAGCCTGTCTGACAAGACTGAGACCGTCTCATCAAGGAGCCTAAAGACTTACCCAATCAGGAGTAGGATTAGAGAAGCACCGATTATCATGGTGAGCGCTGACCTTTTTACACAGTCACAGACTTTGTGTAGTCGAATGTGTCTTCCAAACGTCTGTGCTTTCATAAAAGAGGCGCCTTGTTCATACATTATTGTTCAGGAATGGCAATGTTGGTTATAGTGACTTAAATATGTCAACAGCTATTGGATTGACTGCCATGAAACTTTGTAGAGACATTCATGGTCCCCAGATGATGCGTCCCATCAGCCTCATCTGAACTTCTTTGTGTTTAGTGCTAGTTAGTGGATGTTAGCATGCTAGCATAATAAAATTAAGATGGTGAACATGGTGCACATTAAACCTGCTGAACATCAGCATGTTAGCATGATGCACGCAGAGCCGCTAGCAGGGCTCTAGACTCGTAGTCTTGTTGTTGTATTTGTCTGTAGAATCTAATGTTAATTTGTTTTACAGGACAGTATGCTCTGTCGTGCTGAGCCACTTCCAGGTCCCAGGCAAGGCAGGCCCAAGAAAAAAGGAAAACTTCTCAGTTTATCTAATGGTGAGAGTTCAACACCACAAATTCAGCCGCAGCCTTTGGTTGAACAACTAGAGGAAAATGAAGAGAGACATGAAGAAGAGCTGACTGTCCAGCCACAGGAGGAGGCAGAGGGACCTACGAGGGGGGGGGGGAAGAGGGGAGCAGAGGAGGAGACAAGCGGTAATGCCACTGTGGCCAAGAGGGTTTGCTTTGAGCAAACATGCATACCAAGCTCTGATGCTGCAGACTTTGTCTCCGAACCAGCAACCATTGAGACAGACGACATAATTGACGTGGAGACCGTTTCGCTGACAAATGTAGGAGACTGTTCACTAAAAGAAGAAAATACAGAAAAAACAGTGTGGAGTGAAATCAAACTCAGAGAAACTGAGGAAACTTTGATGGATGAAGAGATGGAGAGCAGCGGTGATGAGATAATCGATGTGGATGGAGATGTGGAAGTCGACTGTAAAGAGGCAGTCTGTGCACAAACTCTGTCACATTTTAGTGAAGGGAACTCTTCCGTTTCTCCTCCTTCACATTCAGCTAAAGAGGTCTTTCTGGGGTCTCCAGGAAGCAGGGAAGAGGACATCGATGTGATTGAAGATTGTGGTCCCATCCCTGATCCGGTGACCATCAGCTGGACAGAGTGTTCAGAAGGTGAGGAAGGGGAAGAAGACGAGGATGTTGATGTTGGAGAAATTACTGACTGCGCTTCGTCAGCGTTCTTCACTACCATGACTAAAGGTGAGCTTGTTAACTTAAAATATCAGACTGAGATGCTCCTACATTAACATCTGCGACGTCCCATCTAGTGCCAAGAGACAGAGTCGTCATTTTATTTTCTCCCCGTCTTCTTCAGTTTGTGTTATTTCCTACATTTCCCAGAAAACATTGTGAATACAGTTCATTTAGCTGTGGGTTAGAATTAGAAGTTAGAAATGTGGTTTCATCTTGAATGCTGTGTGTTGCCGCAAACATTTTTGTATTCCTATTCCACCAATGTTTAGGAAAGTAAGAGCTGTGAGCAACATGTTAGATAGACAGAAAAGAAAAGATGTGCGTTATAATGCATAAAGACACGTAGGCGAGTTTATTTAGCAACAGAACAACAGGACTGTGTAGTTTAACTACAGCTATTCAGTTTCAGCTCTAGAGTACGGTAGACAGACAATTGACAAACTGTCAAAGGTGACTGGGATTGTTCAACTTTGTAGATATTTACTTGTTGATTTTATGTAAATGTTGTTACTACTAAGTTTAGTAATTTGTGATTGTTAAGCAGATAAGTTCAGCAAAGTTTGTTTTAACTGTCAAGTGTTGAAAACACCACTAACCGAACAGTTCATTAAGAGATTCACCTCAAAACAAATCAGGTTTATGTACTGTCAAAGGAATCAGGAGTGTTTTATTTGTTGTAACTATGACTATGACTGAATTAGTTGTAAAAATGATGGATAATGTCAATCTCTGTTCAGCCACAGTTTGTAAATGTTCCAGGAAAACTCTTCCTTGTTTTACTGTCAAGTTATGTTTGACAGTGTTCCTCGTGGCACTTTTTGAGTCAAGGACTCTGGATTTCTACAATAAAATCTCCTCTCTACTTCCTGTGTCACGCCGCCTTTATTCTGTGACTCCACATGCACGTCGCCGAACAGGAGGCCCATCATCGGGGTGTTGATTTCATTTTCTCCCTCACCTCAAGACACAAATGCACAATACGTAGAACAATTACTAAAGCCCAACCCATACAGCGGCATGGTAAGTATTATTGATCAGTTATAGCTTAATTTCATTAAAATACTAACGCAACAAGTCAATATATCGAATAATACATATATAATAACTTATTATTTATATATGTAAATATTATTTATATTTTATATTTGTTTCAGTTTTGTTTTATTGGACTTTCTTTATGTCAAAAAGAAAATTTTGTTAGACAATTTACTTGTGTAGAGAAGATTTAATTTCTTTTTTGTTTGTTTTGTCTGCAAGTTTTTCCTAAGTTGCAATGCCTTCAACCCTCGGCCACCATACCAAACAGTTAGTGAAAATACTCAATGCCTTTCAGGTAAGTCCAATAAATGAATTCCTTCTCCTACATTTTCAGGCTTGGACAGATGTGGTTCTAAGTACCATGTAACCCCTAACTTGAAAGGTGGCTGTAGAAAAAAACTACAAACTTTACCTTTCAGACCAGCAGGTGGTGTGTTTCATATACTGTAAAGAGAGGGCCCTGCTATATTCATGTATTTGTATTTTTTTGTAAAGAAGTCACCATGAAATCGCACATAATAAAACAATGAATGCATGAATTGAAAATGACTTTATTTGTTATCTACCTGTGGATCAACCTCCTACACACAACACCTTAACACATCTGAGCTGCACCACTGCGCAGTCTGCTGCACCAAGGAGGGTGAGTGCAGCCGGGGAGGTTTATCCTGGTATGTTGGAGCTTCATCTCCCCTCTATTTTGGCTCCATACTCATCGCCCAGCGCAGGTGAGAGTACAACGCAGGTGTGTGTGTGTGTGTGTGTGTGTGTTTGTGTTCGAGTGTGTAGGGACCTCTAAACCAAATAAAAAGACACAGCATGAGTGTCAGTTATGTGTGTGTTTGTGTGTATGTGTGTGTGTTTGGAGCGCGTGTTTCCCTGTGCTTCAACGGTGCGATATTGTCTCTTATCACACTCTGGCAGCGTCTGTAAATCAGTAGTGGTGCTGGGGCGGCTGTTGCGGCTCAAGTCAAGAGGAAGGAAAGGATTGAAGAGAGACAGGAAGAAAGAGGAGAGGGTAATGGGTAGAGAGGTCGAGGGGAGCTGCTGTCTCAGTCTCAGCCTGTTCTCCTCTCAGTGCTGGATGCGCCTGATGGACTGGATCTGGGGGGTCTGACAGTGGGAGCCCCAGTTCCTCCAGTGCTGGTAGTCTCCACTGTGTCTCTCGCACTCCATGATGTACTGCTGGCCCCTGTAGCCAGGGTGCTGGTAGCACACAAAGCTGTGGGGTTGGCAGAGAAGACCGCGAGGGTTAGAGGGACTGTTTTAGGAATGGGGATTTAGTGCATGCTTAGAGTTTCCCACTGATATAGGACATGTTTATGAGGGGTTATATTGACAGGGTACAGGTTTATTTGTCTAGTGTGTAGGCCCAGATGTAAATGAATTAACTAAGCCAGATAAGACAGATCACCTGGAAAAGCATTAGTAGCGATTTGTCCTGATAAAATGCATCTTATTACAATCCGATTCACAATAACTTACGCGCCACACTGCACGTGCATGGAGCCAACTTCAGGCATCATCCAGCCCATGGCCTGCAGAGAGGGGTAGTCGTCACAGATCTCCACACTGCGGCCCATGAAGTTCTCCTTCTCAAAGATGATCATGCGGCTGCTCTGGTGGGACTGTGGTGGGAGAAGGAGGGGGAGAAAGAAAGGGTTAGAAGTGTGTGTGTGTGTGGGGGGGGGGGGGGGTTCCTGAGGTGATTGCTGATGCTGAAAAAAGGTCAGGGAGTAGGCTAACTCACGGCGCAGTAGATGGGGCGCAGAGACATGAAGCGCTCCACGTGGTAGGAGAGGGAGCCACTGTAAGCGTCCCAGTGGGGGTACTCTCCTCTCTCCAGGATGAACTGCTGGCCCTGGAAGTCATGGTGCTCAAAGCCCACCCAGCTGTTCACAGAGAAAGAGAGGGGAGGGCTGTTTAACTTCTTGATTCTTGTTTCTGACAGTTTCACTTTCATATTAATTTGACATAACATTTTTGTACAGTCAGTGTTCTGGGTCTCCTTTCGGAAAAAAAAGCTTGTGACACTTACGCTCCGCTCTCCACCCTAATGGAGCGGATGTTGTCCAGTCCGCACTCCTGAATGTTGCAGCACTCGGAGGTGAACTCCAGGCACTTGCCTTGGAAATGCTCCTGCTCGAACACAGTCACCTGTGGAGCAAAGGAGGAGGAGGAGGGAGTGGAGAACAAGAGGCAGCAAAGAAAAAGAAATATAGGTTATCAGAGCCTGTACATCATTCTCCTTTACCTTTGGGTATCAAACAGAGATGCACAGATCATATAAATCCATCTCATACCCACCATATATAGTTTTGAATCATATAATGTGTTTCCATTACCTTGAAGAAAGGAGCCATGCCCATTCCTGAGTTGACCAGCGGCTGCATCATTGGGGACCTTGTAGTTCTGTACATCTTTACTCCTGAGGTGGCAAATGAGGACAGAGAGCAGGAGGTAAAGTAAAAGGCAAGAAGGTATGTGGGAAACAGTGTTGGAGAGAAAATGTCCTTCAGAGACTCGCTCAGAGCATCAGTGATTAAACAGTGTAATATTCTATAGATTATTTGGCATGTTTTCCTAGTGTAAAACAGTAAAACATGAAGGTGTTTCAGTTTCCATTTACAGGAACAACACGAATCCAAATCTGAACTAAGAGATCTGGAGGAGGTCTGGCCAAATAGTTAGGCTAATTTGACTTTTTAAAAAGGTGAAATATGAAATAAAATTCGGGTATAACAATTAGCGTGTGGTGCAGGCGTTTCAGAAAGTGCTTTTGGTTTTCGGTGTCTGTGTGAAGCAGCTTGAGTGCACCTGCCTGTCTGACCCTGACCTGTGTTGAAAGCAGAGATGCAGCCTTACCTAGAGTGGCACTTTATAGGAAGAGCTTTGGAGTGATACGCGCCTACCGCCTGCCTCGCGTAGAGCTTTGAGAGAACCTGGCGCTTCAGTTTTATACCGACGGTCTGGGTCGGAGCGCGCCTGCTGGTGCGCGTCCACGGCTCCGACTCGTCGCACCGTCCATTTGGCGCAGCGGCCGCGCCAGCAGCGAGGCGCGCTCCCGGGATGCTCGCTGCGGGGCCGCTGGACGCTGTTGTCCCACTCCAGAGGCCAGCTCAGCAGATCCTATAGTGCTGCTGGTGCTCAGAAACAAAGGCGCTCCGGTATGTTCGGACCCCGGTCAGCAGTCCAGCGCGTGCCCAGGCACAAAGGGCCGGGATCGAGGTGGAGAATGTGGGGATTAGCGGCGGAGCAGAGAGGCACCGCGGGGGGACAGAGAAGGAGATAACTGGGTGCATCTATATGCATGTATAGAAACGTTAGAGAGCTTTAAGTTTCATTTTAGTCCTTTTCACACAATGGCATCTCAAAGTCACCAAAACGCTCTTGCATGCGCACCTTCAGGGGCACCCCAAATGTGTGGTTTAGCAAAACAAATGGTTTACAAAGTGAATGCAACAGTTGCGATGAAAGTTTCTCTGCAGTTACATCAGCAATTAAACAGTTAGTTCCAAATTATGTCAAGCATACAAAATAAATCTTGTCAGATTTAGTCTGGTTCAAAAAATCCTATCATATCAAATGTTGATCTGATGTGTTATGGCTCTATGTGGGGGTTGAACCTCGGACCTTACAGTGGGAAAGCATTTCATTTACATTTACACTGCATTTATTCATTTAGCCATTTAGATTTATGTATCACACATGAATGTTACTCACTGATATTATCTAAGAACATGTAGCCTGGAACATTTAATAAATAAATTACAATAAATAAATCAAGAATTTAAAGTTAACCTCCTTAAGCCAAAAGAGAGGTTTGAAGCCACACATTCCCGCAGACATCATCAAATAACTCCGATCAAGCCTGTCTAAGTACTTTTAATAAGTGATGATGTGAAAAGGTGACAGGAGAATAAAGAATCTGAAATATAAAACTGAATTACTATGATTTAGGGTCATTATTTACCTCTAAACGTTGATGTCAGGAACATCAACTTGTATTGCATTAGTTCTATCAGAAACTGGTCTCCAGCTTCTGTCAGTCCTCCTCTGCCTCCGCCCATCCTCTCTGTCCGTCCCTCTCTGATGATGTGGGGTTTCTTTTGTCCCGCGCCTCTGACCTCAGCAGGTTTGTTTCTCTCCCCATAATCCCTCTCCCGTGGGCGCCAGCGTATAAAAGGGAGAGGCTCACTCCGAGCCACACACACTCTGAGTGAGGCTTGGCGTAGGCATCGCACACACATACAGGTAAGGTACACACACCCATACTGTACTCCTGCTGGTGTTTGGAGATACAAAACAGGAGCAAGAGACATCAATTTCACCTAAATATACAAAGTATTCTATATACTTTTAATCATTGCATTTGTAATCTTTCCTCTATCTATAATGCATCCTTTACACCAGTCATGACAGGTTCAGTTTGTGACATGAACATGTGTTTTTTCCCCTCTCTTTTTCCCCAGTAATCATGTCCAGTGGAGATAAGTCTAAGACCTCTTCCCAGACTGACGGGAAGGCCGCTCAGGGCAAGAAGTCTGAGATGGGAATGATGGCCTACAAGGTTGGTGGCTCTGACATGCGACTTCAGATACACTTAATAGTGATATCATGGTATGATAATCACAGACCCTTAACATTGACTCATCTGTCCCCTCCAGATGTACGTGTTCGACCAGGAGAACTTCCAGGGTCGCATGATCGAGATCAGCAACGAGTGCATGAATGTGTGTGAGATGGGCATGGACCGTGTGCGCTCCCTGCGCGTTGAGTGTGGACCGTAAGTCTCACAAAAGTGCAAACGTGCATGTTCACATTTAAAACATTCATCTCTGCATGGATACTTCATAATGTTGTCTCATCTGCAGCTTCGTGGGCTTTGAGCAGATGAACTTCTGTGGTGAGATGTACATCCTGGAGAAGGGAGAGTATCCTCGCTGGGACTCCTGGAGCAACTGCCAGAGGAACGACTACCTGCTGTCCTTCAGGCCCGTCAGAATGGTACAAAAAGCAAACTTGGTTTCATACTCTCAAGTTTCCCTTTTGCTTTAGACTCTTCCCTGAAATAGTGTTTCTCTCTCTTCCAGGACCCCGAGAAGCACAAGATCTGCCTGTACGAGGTCGGAGAGTTCAAGGGCCGCAAGATGGAGATCATGGACGATGACGTTCCTAGCATGTTCTCCTACGGCTTCACCGACAGAGTGGGCAGCATCATTGTCAGCTGTGGAACGTGAGTGTCACTGTTAGAACTCAGAGACAGGACTCAAATGATGTGAACATCTACTCCACTGACATGTTTCCTCTTTCTTCTCCAGCTGGGTGGGATACCAGTTCCCTGGATACCGTGGCAGCCAGTACCTGCTGGAGAAGGGCGACTACAGGCACTTCAACGAGTACGGCGCCCGCCATCCTCAGTTCCAGTCTGTGAGGCGTATCCGTGACATGCAGTGGCACCAACAGGGCTGCTACACCATGGCCAGCAAGTGAGGCTCAGGGAAGGAGAGAAAGAGAAAGAGCGGAAGTGAGGGAGAGGGGCGGAGGAAGAGGGAAAGGGGGAGAGATGTCTGAGGCCTTACCTCAGTACCTTAAACGGTCTATGATCTAACGCAGTGAGGGGAAGGGTGAGGATTTAGATCTGCCCTTGATCGGAGACAACACCTCAGTGGAAGGACCAGCTGGACCACACTCCATTCCTCTCTGTCTCTACTTTTCTCTTTCTCCCCTATGGGCTGAGTTTTACTTTCACCCCTTTTCTCCCTTTTTTTAGTCCCTCACTTCATTCCCTTCCACGGTCCTCTGAAACACCAAAGAGGGTACACGACACCTCTGGCTGTTTTACACACTTGATTCTCGGCTCAGGGTATAATGCACCACGGGAAACTGAGTCCCTAGAGCCCCCCAGCCCCCCATCTTCTTGCCCCTGTGCTTTGCACGCCCTCTCTGCTGTACAGAATCCTGGCCAAGTTTTCAATAAAAAGGAAAATTTTGATTTCAAAGATGTTGTTGTTGTTACTTACCACTGGAAACCCACCTGATGAAAATGTTAATGAACAAAACAAATGAGATGAATAAAACGTGTGATGAATCAATTTTGATAAATCATTGCTTTTCTGAAGCTCAGTATTTTGAATGTTAGCTGGACACAAGATATCACTCTGTGTTTGACTTCAAACCTTTCAGGAAATATTGTGAACCAGTATGTTATTTGTGTAGTTTTAATTGTGAAAAGTTTGTATAGTTAAAATGAACAACAAGTCTGGTTACAGTCATGCTGAATGGGGTTTGGGAAGCTTTGCATAGTCTGCTACAAAAAAACCTCAACATCATACAATGCTTTGTAAAAAAAAAAGAAAAGCACTGTGTAGAAAAAGAGAGCAGGGTGGCCAACAGGGTGGGATGCTGATCATGTGACATATTGGTGTGGAGCCCTCTGGACTGTGTAACACGACAACAACAGGACACGTCTGCTGATACTCATTTCCATTTTGAATTAAAAATGAGACATTCCATAAGCAGGTGAGATTTTACAGTAAAATAGTGTCCAAATCCCGTTGTTTTATAGATAGTAATTTATTCAATGAGGGAAACAAGAATTTTTCATGCTAAATTGACTTTATTTTAAGAATGTTATAATAAAAATGTAGAAAATACAAGAAATAAGGCAACTATATGTATAGAATTAGAATGTTTAACTAGGATTTAATCTGAAAACATGCATATTTTTTAATACACAATATAATTTTGCAAATTACTCATCTGTCCCCTCCAGATGTACGTGTTCGACCAGGAGAACTTCCAGGGTCGCATGATCGAGATCAGCAACGAGTGCATGAATGTGTGTTAGATGGCATGGACCATGTGCGCTCCCTGCGTGTTGAGTGTGGACCGTAAGTCTCACAAAAGTGCACCTTTTTCTGTGTATTCATATTGTTGCTTAGATATTGCTTGAAGAGTAAACTGTGTCCTCGTTCAGGGGTCAGGTGCTGAGAGGAACGTGTGTCGCTCCATCATGGAGTTGGCATTATCAGGTAGCTGCCATTAGCTACATAAGTTACCTTCCAGATGCTTATTTTTGATGCAGAGTGGCAGGTTGCAGCTCAGCACAGTTCACTGCAGATAATATAATAGTGGCTTGAAGCAGCAAACATTTTCAACTAATTTCTGTCACAACTTTCAAGTTTACTTCTAAATTCAGAGAGGAAAACTTTTGTTTGTATATGAATTAGGAACATATGATGTTTATGCATGCCTTCTGGCTTGTTTCAAGCAGTTGGCGCTCTTAATATTTTCCAACACACCATGTTTACCTCAGCGTGCTGTGTGCATGTTCTTTCCCATCTAAGACACGAAGCCTCTCTCTTGTTGAGTCTCAACACACCATTTGACTATCAGTGTACTGTAACAATGTTAGGCCTACACAGTATTATAAACTCCATATTTAATGGACTGGTTCTTTCTTTTTTTTACAGTTTTACAAACAAGATTTTACACTCACACCAATATATAAAAATAGGCTACATCTTAAAAACACACAGTCATAAATGTTGTCTATGAAGCTCTTGATATGTTTTACAGCTGTTAAAATGCTTAATCTTTCTATTGCACCTCAAGTTCTGATGTGGATAGTCATGTCAGTTGTAGGCTGGATACTACTTGTCCATCTTTTTTAAATAAAAATAAACTTTTAGATAAATGCTCTTTAAGCTGGGGTAGGTAATGTTGGAGGAACTAGCAGGAGACAGCTACATTTTAAAGTATCCAATAGAATAAATTCCACCCTATCACTTCAGGCCTCCCTCCAAAGCCACTCCCCCAAAACACATTTTCATGCACAATGAGTGTGCGCAGGTAGACCGCAGCAGAGCCCTTTAAAGAGAGAGTCGAGTCAGTGGGGGTCCAAAATGCTTGATCGTCACGTAGTTCATGGGGAACGCAGATAGTTCCCGGAAGTCCTAGGCGGGCAATTGAAAATGAACGAGAAAAACGGCAAAACGGTGATTTTAAGCGTTTGGCAATTTATACAATCCATGCCTTGATTTACAATATTTGTACAGCACACTGACAAGTGTATGTAGCTACAATACTATTTTTTAAAAAGGAGGACATATATTTTTGACAATAACAGCTACAATCACCTACCTTGTTGACATTTTTTGGCTAACCTTACATGGAAAAGTGTGTTCCTCTTGAAAACACATTTTAAAATGCAGATCAGATTTACCTTTCTAACATTCCTTTTAGTAATCCCATGGTACCAGGGTTACTTGATCTTAATGACTAATGTAATCTTTATCACTTAAGGTAGAACAGACAGGCGACTATCAATGACTGTCTTGTATTAATTCAGTAAATCTCCAATAATCTCAGAAAACAGCATGTTAAATGGTTTGTGCCTGTGTACTGTCTGACAATAGTCTCCAGCACGGTTTATTGTGCTGTGTGGAGATGCTGTTACAGAAAAAGGAGTATGAATGTAAAGGAAGGGTTAGACAAACCTACACATCTGTAAAGATTCATCCAGGTCATGGTTATCCAAGAAACGTTGAATCGGGAGCAACTGGACTTGGTTGTCAATGACGTTTCAGAAGAAGTCCAGTTGCTCTCAATTCAACCTTTCTTGTAAACAGCTAAAGGTTTGATTGAGAAATTTATGCATTGTTAAGTTATGGAACTTCATTAACAGCTTTTGCTACTGATGTTGGCATCAGTTACTAGATAATTTGTTAGTTAGGGAATGTTTTTATTTTCTCACACACAGGAACTTTCATGATGATGTGATATGAATTTGTACAAAGTAATTGTGTAATTAGTGTAAACATATCCAGTAAGAATTGAGTGTTCACCAATATGGTGCATTCAGCCACTATGATGTATTAATGTTGGTAAATAAACCTGAAATGTTGTGTGGAAAATACGTTCAAGTCGCTCCGCAGGCACATTTTGAGGCAGACCAGTTTGTCAAGACCAAAAAGTCAAGACTAGGCTGAAAGCATGCTACTCCCATCATCTTTGTGCATTGTCCTCAAACCTGTAAAAAGTCAGGTGTAATAAGTATTAACTCTTAAACAGTATTATTTCTTACTTTGAAGTGGTTAAATGTTATTTTGAATAAATATTACATTAACAGTGCCATGTCTTTTCAGTTGAGTTTCAGAGACTGAGGAAAGAAGAAATATAGAGACTAAGAAGTGAAGAAAGAAGGGATGCAGACACTGACAGAAGGTGAAGAAAATAATAAACATTTAAAGTATGATTTCTTATAAATGGTATATTATAATAGGCATTTACAATCATGTGTTGTTCTCTATCTCACCATTGTCCACTCAGTACTCTTTAGCATCACTGCTCCTCCACCTCACAGAGTCTACTGCTCTAATAGAATTCATGTTTACTATGAAGATTGTTTTTATAATATGTTAGTATACTACTTTTAGAGTTAGGGGTCCCCAACCCCCCAAAAAATAAGTAAATAACGTTATGAAATCTTTTATTTATACACGCACCGCAAATATGTTTAAAAAAAATTAAATACCACCTCCCCAAAAATACGCATTTTAAAATAAATTAATAGGCTGCCCCTGTTTATATTGTGTGCTGCTAACCTTATTCATTGCCAGTATCATCATTTGTTTGTAAATTTGTTAACCGTTAATGTCCCTGAATCTTCTAATTCAGTGGGGGACATCTACTAACATGCTTTAATGCACATGCTAACTTGTTTCAGTTGTGCTAATAATATATAATCTTGTTTTTCTTTACACGTCTTACCTTTTAAACGTGCATCCCAAATAGCATTTTCTATTTCATTTCCACTACGCTGCTAGCATTTGATACTAACTTCCGGGAACTATTCAGACGCTCCATGATCCGCCATTGCTGTGAAAAACTGTTCCATTGGAGTGAACGGAGATGACGCGACTCTCTCTTTAAAGGACTGCTGGCAGGTAGGCCAGCCAATTATTTTCTATAGCCATAGATACCGTTTTTTTAATATAACAAAAAACACTTCTGTGTTAAATTGCCTACTCCAGCTTTAAGGGCACATAAAAAATGTTCACTACAATGCAGAGTTCACGAATCCAGCAGTTGCATAATGTCTGTGTGTCCTTCAGCGGCCAGCTGGACTGGTCAGCGAGACATCATCCGCACAAACTCTGAAAAAGACAAGAGAAAGGAAGTGAGAGAGAAGTAGGTGAGGGTGGATGTAAACTAAGAGATCCCATAAAGGCAAAGTGAATTTCTCTCACCCTCAAAGTCCACCAGACCGTCTCCATTGAGATCAACATCTCGGAGGATCTCGTTGATCTCTCTGTGGGTCACTTGTTCTCCCATCAGCTTTTTCATGGCCTCACGCAACTCAGATAAGCTGATCTGACCGTCACCGTTAGAGTCAAACTGGACTCACAGAGAGAGAGAGAGAGAGAGAGAGAGAGAGAGAGAGAGAGAGAGAGAGAGACAGACAGACAGACAGACAGACAATTAATGTAATCACGTCTTGTTTTTATACTATCAAACTGAATACACTGGGACATTTTAGGAAATACACTAGTTTTTAATGCAGCCACAGTGTCATTCTTTATACTTTCACTGGATGGCACTAAACAAAGACATTTTCAAATACTTCACGATGTGCCATGGTTCCCAAATATTTTCTTGGATTAGGAAAATGAAAAGATGTCACACCTTGATACATTAGTGGTTTATAATTCAGAAACAACACAGGGAAACCACGCTTCAAACAAAAGAAATAATGTTACATTTATTAAAATAACATTATTAAGAACAAAAGCTGAATTTTTGCACTTTTTGGATTCTGTTGTACAAATGAAAATTAAAAAAGACAAACTTTTCTTCCCTTACCAAAATCTGTACATCTTGTACTCTTAATGCTGTTTTGCTTTCTGAATAAATCTTGCGAAACATGAATCTTGATAGCTTTGCCATCACCAGAGAACTCTTGTTTCTTTAAATAGACTTTTGGATTGTGAAAGTTATATCTGAATGGCACTCATCTCCCACCTGTTGTCCCTAAAGACCCTTTTTCACGGCAGATATTTTGACTAGTCATAGCAAGAAAGGCACTACATCACACTACTGATGAGTCCATTCCAGCAGCTAGACCTGAGTTAAATTAGTTAAAATGTCAGCAGTGAAAAATGGCATGTGCTCCAACAGTTGGCTTCAAATAACAACAAAATGTACATCCTGACCTCTTTGAATGCATCTCGTAGTTCTTTGACTCCGATCATGTCTGCTGTCTCTGCCAGCAGCTTAGGTCCCATCAGCTCCACAAAGTCCTCAAAGTCCACTTTTGCACCTACAACATGGAAGTTATATAGACAATGCCATGTCAGCTCTCATAATCATTACCTCTGATGTCCACATATCAACTTTAAAGTACAACAGTAAAAGCACAATAAATTATTGTTAATCAACTGCAACAGTAAACACAAGCTACTCTATTTTATCATTGTAGTTAAATCACCCACATAGTTTAAACAAGAAGTTTCTGGTGCAAACTACAGTTTGTTTGTTTCCTTCTGTTCTGCAGTTGAGATCTCTTTTGTTCTGACCTGTCCTGTCCTTGTTTTCTTAGCCTTAACACTAAGAGTACTGTGGTTCCCTAGTCAATTCTATTATGTCTCTGCTCATTTTCCTGTTCTGTTCCTGTTTGGTCTTGTTCGGCCCAGTACTGTTCCTGTTCTGTTCCTGTTTGGTCTTGTTCGGCCCAGTACTGTTCCTGTTCTTGTTCCTGTTCCTATTCTGTTCCTTTCTCTGTTCCTTTTCTGTTCTGTTGCTGTTGCTGTTGCTGTTCCTATTCTGTCACAAATCTCTTCTGTTCTGTTCTGTTCTGTCCTGTTTATGTTCATGTTCCTATTCTGTTCCTTTTTCTGTTCCTGTTCTGTTCTTTTTGGCTGTGTTCAAAACGGGCTAAACTGCTGTCTCAGAAGGTGTCTAACAGGACAGCGAGGCATCGAGTGCTGTTCGAAACGGCTCGAACGATCTCTTCCTGTCTCATGAGATGCTTTCAAGCTGCCCCAGCAACGGCCAGTTTTGAAGGCAGCATCGATGGTGACTTGATGCTGACTATTACCCATAAAGCATTTGCTTTTGAAAACTAGTCAAGATGGCGGACAAACAAGCCGAATTTGTGCACAAATATATGTTTTTAAAAGTTTTTAGTAGTTTTCTCGCATCGATTTTTGAAAATCTAATAAGAACTAAATACTGAACTATCATATTAGCCCGTGACTGAAACCAACCAAGTTTGTTCAGTATGATTTCTGAGGTGTTTGTTAGCTGTTTGGCTTTTCAATAGCTAGTTAGCTGATGCTGAGGCTAGCGTCTCTTCTGGCTGTCAGAAGAGATGGCGTGCTGACCTAGAAGGTTGTTTGAAACTAATGTAAACAGAGCTGCCTTCACTTGAAAGTGATGCCTTCTGAGGCAGCTGTCTATTACGGTATCGAGGAAGCGAGACAACTGCCTTCCGTTTCGAACACAGCCCTTATGTTCAATTTATGTTCGTATTCTATTCCTTTTTTTGTTCCTGTTCTTTTCTGTTTGTATTCATGTTCATGTTTGGTTCCAATTTCTGTTGCTGTTCTAATCTTTCGGTTTCTGTTCTCTCAGATGTTCCAAGCTGCTGTTCCACTAACAGATCTGCTGGCTCAGTTCGATGAGCTCCATCTCTGTAGGCATGTATCCCATGGTCCTCATGCACTCCCCCAGGTCTCTATTATGGATGTAGCCTTTTTTGTTCCTGTCAAACTCCACAAACGCCTCGCGGAGCTCTGATAGAAACACACAGAAAACACACAAGTATGTCAGCTGTAATAATATTATGCTGTAATTAATAAGCAGAAACATGCTGAGGTTTGCTGTAGAGAAATCGCCTCACCTTCAATCTCCTCTGGTCTCAACTCTCTGTCCTGTTGGAGAAGCAGAGACAACCATTAGCTCCTCATTTCATACAGTGCTAAACCTTTTTCTCTCACACTCACACACACAACTCACAAACACTCATGCTAAAAGTATATATATATATATATATATATATATATATATATATATATATATATATATAAACACAATTGGATTTGAATCAACATCATTGCAGTAACACCCAGACAACCACTGAGCAGGGAAGAAATCGTACACAAATATCAAGTGACCAGAAGAAATGAGGGAAATGATTAATGGACTTTGGTTTTATGTGGCTCAACTGTGAGGATGGTGTGAAAAGATGACAATTTAAACTATCTATTCACATTGCTTCAAAACTGAGCCTATGTATCAGATATTGTGCTTCAGAATTATTTGCAAACGTAGAGAAGTGATTCAGTGTTTGTTCAGTAAGCAGTCAATGGATGCACAAATCCAGTGCATCTCCAAATGAAAAATACTCAATATGGATTAACTTGTATACCGCATTATGATGTATATGACAAATCATGTACCGCAATTCACAAGAGGGGAATCTGATTTTTTGTGGGAGGTTGCCGGGCACACATCTGGAGATTATGAGATTTGGGAGGTTTAGTTTGTACAGAGACCCGGTTCAGACACACATAAATACACTTATACTGTCATGTACATAGCACTCAAGCTTGCACGCAGGCCCTCGCAATAAAAAGGCACATACTCACACAATGGAAGTTGTGGTTCAGTATCGAGGATGTTAGTCTAAGAGCTTTAGAGTGAAAACAATATGCTTTGGTTGCCCCCTAATTTTTCTCACAAAAAAATAAACGCATAATTACAATATGGGCTGATATCCTCTTAACTTCACAGCAAGGGACTTAATGGGACACACTGAGAAAATAACTGGAATTCATTTTCTTTCATATTAATAGAAACAGAACAAGATATGTGATCTGCTGGAAAAATCCCATCACGCTCAAGCTGTTTCACTGCTCCTGTGTGTATAGTCTATTCAAGATGGAAAGGGTCCCAAAGTGGACCCCACATTTCCTTTACTGTCTTTCCCAGAGCAAAATATAACCAGAGTCACTGAAAACAAATAGTACTCCTGTCACAATAGCATGGTTGTTGTCCTATTGATTAGTAGCTGAACGTCAGGAAAGCAGGTCTAATATGAGCTTGTCAGAGACAGGCAAAGAGGAAAGGAGGAAACTCAAAATACAAGAGAGTTGGCAAGCGACACTGAAGCCAGTGACTCGTTTTGTTAAGATGGCGGACAGTGAATAGTAAGCCCTCATCTCTGAGGTGATTTTGGTTTAGTTTCTGTCTGCATTTGTGTGTGAACATACTTTATGTGAACAAAGATGGTGAGCATGGATGGCAATTGGCCCATCTCCTATCATCCACCTCGAGTGAAAAGTGACGAGTTGGACTCAGGGTTTCAGGGTTCAGATGAGGCCACAAAGCCATATAGTAACCAGGTTTAGTGTTAATTAATTCCCTTAAATGTAACAACAATGTATTTCTTCAGGTGGCCTACCACCTGTGCTGTGTAATACCATGGTCATGTTTACTTATGTACCAGTTAGTTTGTTCCAACTTCATTCAGCACATATTCATTTGGGAAACCATACCATGTATATGTGACAAAAGAAATAGCAAATGTTTTCAATCTAGATGTTGGCCCCTTTACAAGACAGGCCTTATTATTTCAATGTATGCTGTGCTTTAATGGTGTAGAAAATATTACTTTAAAAAAAAAGTGATTCATCAAATTAGAACAAGCTCATGGATATTCAGCCTTGACCTTGACATCACATTTTACCAGTTTAGAGTAAGCTCCATAAAGCCAGTCAATACTTTTCCATGGAACTGAATGATTGACCCCTCTGAGCATATGCTGTGCTATCAGATTTGATTGTCTGACCCGGACCAGTGATGGGATGAAACAGCTAGTGTGGTGGGGAGCAGGAGGGTCAGCCACAATGTGGGGATGAAAATGAATCGAGTACGAGTGGAAAAAGTTGCACCGGGGTTGCGTGAATGTACACTTTGTGTTCTGTTACATACGAGCGTCTGTGAAAAGCCCTGTTTAAGGAAGATGCATGCCGGGCCCACAATGTTGTGCAGCATGTTGCAGTTCTTCACCAGCGCGCTGAAGGGATCGTTGAACAGCTTTTCCTCCACATCCTCATCCTCCTTTTCCTCTTGCTGCAGACCCAGCTGGCCCGCTGCCCTCACCTTACCCCTGAGGGGCCCATCCATTACCCCCTTTAGAGGCAGACCAGGCTGTTATTCCACCACTCCAATGCACTGCCTACATGGCTGATTTCTTCACACATAAAACATAATCATATCTTTCACGGAATAAGGCTAAGACTGTTTTCTACTCATGTAAACATTAGAGAGAATGTGGCTCTAAGCCTGGATTACATAAGCTGCTTATTATTTCAAGGCAACTTACATCAGCTGTTATTCTTACTGTAAAAAACTGTCTTGGTCTCTTCTCCATGTGTATCCATCCTGCTGCAGTCTACTGATACTTCTGCTAATTGTCTGCTCTAATGACTGACATCTTGTGTCAGTACATATTAGAAGTTATTAAAAGTATTATCCAGGGATTAAATAATTAAGGCAGGTTGCAAAAAAAGCTCTAAAAGCTAGTGGGTGGTCTTATACAATATTATTATTTTGTTACATGTACTTTTCCCGAATGAGAAGAATGAACTTCCATGCTTAAAGTTGCCGAGATGATTTGGTGATCAATCACAGAACTAAAATTTGCAAGAGTCAATTAGCAAGTGCAAGTGAAAGCATCAAACTCTGGTAAAACACAAAGATGAGACAAAGTACTCTTACCTTCTTAATTTTGTCTTTCCTAGATGGTTTGGTGCAGTTGCCCATTACCCAACCTCCCCTGGTCAACAGGAGATCTCACCCTATAATGTTCTCCTGCTGCACAAATATCCCCCCCCCCTCTCTCAGACACTTCTTTCTGATCTTATATGTCGTCTTCGCCTTCTCCTCTCTTTGGACTTCTCAGAGGTCCAGTTCAGGCTCAAGCTCAGAAGTGTGAGAAAAACCTCTCTGATTGTCCCATGCTGATTATCGTTCATCACATCAGATGCCAGCTCTAATCCATGCATGAGCAACACTGAGTGACTCCACCCATCTCTATGTAGTACAAAGTCAAGCGAGGTCATCAAACAAAGCAGCACAAAAACCAAACTAACCCAACCAAACTCTACTGAAGCAGCCCAGTCTCTGCAGCAGAATCAGCATCACTGTCTCTTTCTCATCACACTGATCAACGTTTTTAATCCCCCTCTCTCACTCCCTTTCCTCCTCTTTCCTTTTTACAGTCACTCTCTCTCCTCCCTCTCCCTTGCTCTCTCATTCACATGTTGCACCAGCATTCAAGTGACTTCATCGACAGCCTGAAGAGTTTTAGAGGGAGAATTAAGAGGACACAAACAGAGAGGCATTAATCCTTTCCATTTGAGATTAAAGAGGAAGATGGGGTGAAAAAAGAGGAAGGGACACAGTAGAGAGATGGAAAAGAAGAAACTAAAAGAGGGATAAACTGACCTCAACTTGAGTGCTATATCCTTAACTTTGAAAAAAATCCAAAATTGACATGAAAATATAGGCTATATATTTCAGTGTGAGTTAAAACTGAACCAGAACTCAAGCGATTGTTGTTAACTGTAAAAATTATTTTCTTTCAGCAGCTTTTACCTTTTAGAGAAAATGAACATATCAAAACAAAACAGCTATCATATGATCTAAAACAAGATTTCCTGTTTATCTACTGCCACTTAAATGACTAGATGTTGTCTTTTCTTTGCTTAACATTAGATTGGACAACAAAAAGGTATATGTACAGTATGAAACTGGTACAAAAATACAGCGGAAACAGAAACAAACATTGTAAAAAATATCTAAAATAATTACGAAAAGCAGCGATATAAATCACAGCCCCTGTAAAAATCCAAGTAGATGCTAAAGAACATCAGTAAATATGATGCAAAAGAATTTGGAAAAGTAAAAGTAGAAAAAATCTGGTTACCATTATTACAATTATTATTATTATGATCTATTGGGAGCTCACATGCTCTAAAATCAACTAGGTAACTGTAAAACACAACATAAACATAAAAACAAGTTAGTTTCCTGAAAATGTTTGGAGATACAGAATTTTCCTCTGAGCTGTGATTTGTAAGTGTTTTAAATCGTGCTTAACTTAAATTAATTAAACTAGCACAGCTGAGCCGTGACGCTTAATGACGGCTTATGAGACCCTAAGTATTATTCACTTGTGTCATCTCAGGTTACACTTGGCAGAATGTGACAAGACTCCAAGTCTGAGGTGGTCTGAGCTCTCGCTGAACGTAACCTCTGGTTTGGCTAAGTAGTCAAAAATGACATTATACATTCCAATTACAAGTTTTTAGTGCAGAGCTTAGTGGTCAGCTGAGCTTGTACAAAGCATCTGTCAACAAATCTCTCTCTTAAAAGCAGATTTGGCATCCTGCTTACTACAGTGCATCCATATGGAGAGCACAGCTTGTGTGTGTGCGTGTGTGTGTGTGTGTGTGCATGTACAAGTGTGTGTAATTTTACTCATCAGATCTTCAATTTTAGCTTCAAATGTTCTTTCTCCAAAACACACTCTTGCACAGTATATATACAGTGTACACAGTAAGGATACAATAAAGTTGGACAGCGTTGTTGTTTTTGGTTTAATGTGTTAATAAAAGCACGTGTGGTCATGAGGAACATGGGTGCTCAAGTGCTAATTGGTGAAATGCGGACAGGGAAAAGTAACTTTACTACACAGCCTGTATTTAAAAGTCCACTGATCAGATTTATAGCCTGTTTAGACATCTTTTTGTTAGGGAGCAACATTATCATTCATTTCATAGAGTTGTTTATTGTCCAATATTCACTGTCTGTCACTCTCTGACTGTCATTTAATACACTGTTATTATAAACATATAAATTATAG